AGTATCGCTCGTGCAGCTGCATTCTGGACCAATTGTAGTCTCCGAACACTTTTCAGGGGCAGCCCCATGTAGAGCGATTGGACAACCATTTGCCTGAAATGGTATAGGGTTTCCTGCCTGGAGCTTAACCTGAAGGTTGGAGTAGGACATCTTCAAGGTCCCTTCCAACTATGTTATTCTGCTATTCCATTGTTCTATTCTGATTGGTAATAGAAAACCAGAGATCTTATCATTTCCCTTGTTCACTCTTATTCCTTTCATTCACCAACCTTCCTGCAATCTTCATGAGATTAATGACTGTTCTTGTGAGCAGATACCACCACAAAGAAATAATATTATACCAATATTGTAAATGTAATGCAATCTTGAATATATTGTGATTATTCCCCCCTCCCTCACCCATATTTTATCAATGGGAAAAACATACACAAGCACACCAAGAGAACTTTGCACGATCAGTGTAAAGTAGTGGTCCCTCATGTTGAAATTGGTACTTAGATTAAGAAGATCCAAAGTCAAATTCCCAGCCAGTCATGGAGTAAAGGAGCTCAATTATTCTATTTCAAGGGCTTTTTTGCTATGAGATAAAAAATAAGGACTGACCCCCATTAATATTGATTTCTGCTCCCAGAGAAAGTGTGAGATAACAGGCAATAAAGAAATAATATTGATAAAATGATAGCAAGATTGAAAAAACTTTGACCAGAATACAGTAATATTAGAGGCAAAGAAATGACTTAGTGTAAGGAAATGAAAACAAGTGTCTGTAGGAGGACCAAGGAGACAAGTATCAAACCATGGATTGTGAATGTCCCAACAAAAACTACAACTACATGCAATTCAATTCCAACAAAACTACAACTTCCTACAATGTCAATCCCAAATAAGGAAGGATAGGTCTTATATCATTATTGTGGACTCATTCTAGTTAAGAATGGGTACCTATGTTCCTAGGCTACTGTAGATCATTATTTCATATTTTTTTTGTTTAAGTGTCTTACCTTTTCTCCTTTGATGCCTTTAGAACCCTAGATGGAGAGAAACACATTATAAAACCATCATATGAAGAAAAGGAATGCACATTTCTAAAATAGGGACATAGATGCGCAGTGAAATATTTAAAATTGCCAAGTATGTCTAACTGCTACAAAAAAAACCTAGAATTGACAAAACTATAGGAAATGGGAAAAATAAATCATTGTCTAATTAATTCTATATTTCCCCGACAATAGTATTATAAACAGTATGAAGGCCTTTGTCAATTCTCTCTTTGTTCTCCTCATACTTGTTCACCTCACTTCATTCATGGTTGGTACAGGAATTATGGGTGTTGAAGTCCACAAGTCATAAAGGGGCCATAGTCCCCCACTTCTGCTCTAGAGTTTCAGGAAGTCTCTTCCATTCTTATATTCAGAGAAATTGTGAAAGCTTTTATTTTTCAATGAGTTTTTGGCTCTAGTTCATTGATGCGTAGCAGTTCATATCTGTGTATTTTTGCTTCCGATCTTGTATTATTATCCTGTATCTTGGATTATTATCTTATTATTTATATATTCTTGATTATGTATTGCTTTGTTATATAGGGTTCGCTATGATAGGTTTGTATCAGGGGTGGGTTCCGGCTTCTTCTACTGCCTGTTCACTCAGGAATGTGCTTCAGGCGTAGGGCGCTTGATGTGCACTATGCATGCATGCACAGTAGGTAAAAAATGCTTCTGTGCATGTGCAGAAGCAAAAAAAACAAGATGGCAGTGCCTATAGTGCCACCGATAGAACTGGTTCGGGAGCGTGGCCAGCTGAGTTACTACCTACTTGGCCGAACTGGGCTGAACCGGTAGGAACTCACCTCTGGTTTGGATGATTAACAAATACAGGAAGAAAATACAGTTCTATCTATCTATCTATCTATCTATCTATCTATCTATCTATCTATCTATCTATCTATCTATCTAT